GCTGGGGACCTCGGGATGATCGTACCCGATGGTTAGAGACACCGAATGATACAGCTGGGTGTCGTAAGCAGTGTCGTTCTCCCATCTTCTGAATTTCTTTGCAAACTTAGACCACTGAACTCCTCCATTTTGTGTTCGACACTACCTTCAACTTTCTTGTCCTGTTATTCATCCAAATGGGCAGACAAAAGACAGCAACCAAAACCGGCGCACGAAAGTGCATGGTTAATGGCTGTTCAAACTGAAAAAAAACTGAATTTGTTAGTCCATCTATTGCGCTTTGCGTGTCCTCTGTGCATTCGAACAGACAGGCGATGTCATCGACGTACTCCAAATTGCACAGTTTTTCTCCAGCTGCCCATTCAATACGTACTTTGCTGAGTCCACTTGGTACATTATCCATTATTTCGTGTAGGACGAAGTCGAACAGGAACAGCGGAGTAGGGTACCCTTGACGAACGCCGCTGCTGGTGACGAACGACCTTGATAGTTCGTTGTAAACCCTTACACGACCAGACGTATGTGAGGATATTGCCGTCAGTAAATCAACTTACTTCTGGAGCATTCCTTTTCGAAGACGGAAACTTCGCGGTCAACTAAGTCGAACGCTTCTTGGAGCTCGAGGAACACTTCGAGCGTTGGTCGACGGTGGGTGTGACGCAACGTAAAAATTTGTTCAATACATCCACGGCCAGGCCGGAATCCGGCTTTCTGTTCACGGATGTTGGTCTCTTTTAAAGTCGTCAGACGTCAAAGTATGACCGATCGGGATCAAACTGATCCCGCGGTGGTTTTCGCAATCGTTGCGTAATCCTTTCTTGAAAATGGGAATGATCAGTGATTCGCTCCAAGATGAAGGAAATCGTCCTGGTGCCTAAATATTGCGCGGTACGGTTATCAACCCCCATTTGAAGAGAGTGGGAGGCAGCTCATCCAGTCCTCATGCCTTTCTTCGTTTTAAATCTTGAGTACAACACCGAACTTCTGCTTCTGATGGAGGATTGCATAACACTGCCCACGGAGCCTCAGTTGCAAATGAATCAACCTGGTTAGCGCCAGGCCAGCCGAACTACTCGCTGAAGTATTCTGCCCACCGATAAATTCGTCTATCCCTATTGTGAATAGATTGTCCACTCGTACCGTAGACTGCATCGCCAACCTCTCGCGTTGCGAATCAGTCGGAACATTCTGACTATTTCTTGATGCAGCCACTACTTCCATTTCAACAGCTATTGTTGACCACCGGTTCTCACGGTCCTTCTTGAGGATCTTCGGGAGCTAACGTCACAGATGCCACCTAACTATATTTTGATCCTGGAAAGTCGGGATTTATCGTTTTTCCTCCTTCAAAACTGCTGACTCATGAGATATCCAATACCTCCGTCGGGCTTGAGGCTCAGGCCCACAAGCAACATTCGCTGCGGAATGTATTGCTCGCCTAGTCTGATCTCAATGCTCATCTACATCACCACTTTGAAGCGCTTAGCTCTCACCCTAGTTCTGACTCATAGCGGGTGCGTAATGCTGGGACGTACTGGCGATGAGCTTTCCGAGTTTGCTGGTTTTTTCGCCGTTCAGTGAATCGGCGAATGAACTACATCAAAACTAATGCGTGATCAGATTCAACGTAGGTAGTCCAATAGTACCTACAACTTTGCACTAAGCCACGCCAGCGGCAACTTACGGTTATGGGATCGATTTGAGTTAGCGTACCAGTTGAACTGAAGCGCCACGTTGCTGTCCGTCGAGAGCTGTGTCGGCAGTTGGTACTAAATAGGGACGGGATGATCTGGACAGAACTGAAGACACCAACCAAAACCGGCGCACGAAAGTGCCTGGTTAATGGTTGTATTAACTGAACTGAAGAAGTCGATCGCCGTTATCTGTTCGCTAGCAGGACAAAGCACAACTACCACCTAGGCAAGCTTCTGATGCGCTCAGTTTTGCTACCTGTACGCTAAAATCAACTGGAGCACAACTGTATCAGAGCTTCGACTGGACCGAATGAGTTCGATGATTTTATTGCAGAAATCGTCTTCTTTGTACGTCAGTTGGGCGGTGCATATGCCGGACGCTGAATGAACCTTGGAGACGTATCGCACATTAGCGACTGCTTGTGGGAATCCAGTCGATGAGAGGGGACTCAGTCCTGTTACTGAGTACAATATCTACACTGCACCGACCTACTAAACGGATTTCTTCGTCTCCTGATATGTGAAGAACGTACGTCGAGGACAAATCTGGTGCGCTCAAGTGGCTTATAGTAGTAGGATCCTGAATTTGAATCTCCGATACACAGCACGTATAGATTACTGGAGATTCCATTATATGCCCTTGGTGAGGTTGTTGACCTACCTGTATCAGATTCCCTATCTTGTAGGCCACCAAATTCAGTGATTGACGAGGCTTCTGAATCTGCAATCTATTTCGTGGAAAATTACTTTCAGTGCTATTGGGAAACTATCTGTGGCGAGCGACAAGCTTGAGGAAATGAGAAGATGGAAGAAGACAAGGGTTGGGACCTCTGTGCAGTAGCCCACTTATCGCCACCATTTCTGCGCGATGCATTGGGCAGCGCGGTCCTAATTATCTTGCGCAATGACCAATGCAGTATGGAGTTATTTTTTGTTTGTGTATGCATTGGAGTTTGATGAACGGGCACAGCCAGGGTATCCAGCAACTAAGTAGGAAAACAATTAGGGTCCCCGTCCACAGCCTTTAGTTCTAACGAGAACCTAACCCCAAGTCAACGGGTGAAGCAAGTAGAGGCTCATTTACTTAAATCGATTACTCCGATACTTTTTACCGACTGAAAAGCAAATTATAGTCAGACTTTCAACCTGGAACACCAGGAAACGGTCTGACGTCTACCCTTCACCTTCCAGACATAATTAGATCTTCGGTTCGACTAAAGCCATTCTGTGAGTCAGGGGAGTGCACAAGCCATCACACTACGTCAAGGTGCAGTCTCGTCGTCACGGGGAGTTCTCGACCTCCGTAGGATGTAAGTTACGCATACCACCAAATACTCTTTCTCACCAAATCGTATTTTCCGGGACGTAATTGATTGGATATTCACAGACGACCGGACTATGGATTGCCAGATAGGTTATCCTTGGGAAGTGGGGAGCTGTCGAACTCTCTTATTTCTGCTTCTGAAAAGAAATTTACGAACTAGCTCCATGATAACCTAACCTAGCTCGCCGGCTCAATTTTTTATGCATCTTTTGTGTGGTGACTGACGAACGGGGCAAACCCCGAAGTCATGAGCACCTGTTCACTAGTGCGAACTAGTAGCATAAGCCCTGGAACGTCGAGTGGTGATCCATAGAATGCCCCATCAGGTTAGGCGTACTGTTGAACCAAATGGTGACGCAGTTGCCTACCACTATGATTGAGTGGCGAGATTTGAACCTTTGGATCCCATGCCCGTCTGTGACAGTAAATCAAACGACTTGATCACCTCCAGCGATAGAATGTATTGAGTGTCAAAATAACCATTGATTGTAAAGGGGAAAATATATTTAGCTATCTTATCATCACCACCGCCCCGGCGTTGATACTGCCTCAAGGCTCAGTGCATTCACCACCGAACATCCACAGCAATAAGTTATGATGACCGACACTGTATTTACAAGTAAAATACAGCTCGGAGCGTTGAATGATAAAGATAGAAGTGTGCCTAATCAACTAGTGAAGATAAAGCGGAGTCATTATACTGCTAGAATATATAAATAGTATGTGAATGACGACAAAATTTCGCCGGAGGCACACGACCGGTTTTGCGGTTCTTGCCGCTCGTCAGGCATGCGTATCCGGTAATCTTTTATCAATTCATTCATATACTTGTAACCAGAAAGTGTATTTTCGTCTCAATAACCTTGTCTGCAACACCCGGTGACTACTGTATAGACAACTCTTTCAGAGCCAGTCCACTGAAAAATCAATGTTATTATTCGATGTTTTGTAAGTGGCTTAGATGCTACTAACCACAACAAAAGTGACCTGATGGTCTTTGTAGGATATTTGATAATAAGTAGTATAAATTTATATGCATTACTGAATGCAAAAGAACGCTAGATAGTTTCTTCTGGGTGCCGATGAGGTTTTTGACCTGGACTACGTGTCAAACATAACTTAACAATTTAATATATGATGAGAACGGTATTGCCTTGACAGTGATGAAAGGTATCAATGCGTGAAAAGGTTGTTGACCTCTTTACTTCGATGGTAGATATATTGATTGTATGGATTTTTGATGTTTTCTCCCTGAACTCCAATAGAGGTTTTAAATATCACACATTCTCTGAGATGAACAGTATAATGTGGTTAAGTGGATTCTACCCATCTCTTTCATAGTTGCATCTTGCCCATCATCGATTTAGAGTGCAGTCATGTAACTGTTAATTCATTATCTCAACCCGATGATTCATGTATGTTGTTTGCAGTGTGGTACTCCTTCAAACTGGGGTATTGAAGGATTCACTGAAATGTGATGTTTTTTCCTACAGTCGCGGGCAACTGCAGCGTTTACAGTGCCTTATAGCTATCTGTTATTAATTCTACCATCATTCCTATGACGATAAATGGGCGAAATTAGGTTGATACTATTCGCTGAATCAACAGTGTAACACTGAGTTGATTTCACTTGATTACAATGTTGAAATGATATCGGCAGCGTCCATTCGTCGCCTGCAGTGTTCATGTTAACGTACACTTCCTGTTGAATCTGTTGCTTTAAAATTTATATCTTGTTCTCTTTTAGCACCTAAATAAACAAAATATTTACACTGGTTGTTGCTGCCTTACGGTGGAATTTTCGAAAACGCGGGGTCCACTTGAAGTGCGACGTCAAAATGACAAATGTCGGGATTACGTGGCCTCGCCTTTGACCAAGGAAGAACTGGCAGCTGGCGAGGTCTCAGATGCCCCCCAATTATCTACCGGTAACATGATATGTGGTGGCAACGCTCCTCTCATGTCACTCGCTTGTTCATCACCAAATGGTCCAATGTTGTCCAACTCTTCGCATAGCCCCGGAATCACAGAATTAGCCGCTCAGTTGACAATGTTGGCTCAACAGTCCGGTTTGATCCTAACTCCGGCTGTTGCAGCAGCCACAGCAAGTTTTATGGCCCTTACATCTCAAGGCGCTAGTGGATCAACGGGCATGTCTTCTTCCCCTCCCGGACTGATTCTAGGCAGTGCTGCTTTGGGTAATCCTCCATCTGCTCTGGTTTCTTCGCAGTCACAGTTTACACCGGCTCCAACACTGCAACCGAATTCGGGAATGGGACCGCCATCCACTTCAGTCTTGATAGTATCCAATCTCCATGAAGAAGTGAGTGATTGCTTCATCGATTTTTCCCATTAGTTCATTCGTCTACTCATTGACCGTAACCACGACTGCTCAACTCCCATTTTCTCCGTTCTCTTTCTTTTCTCTTTCAACCTACGTCCTCTGTCAATCACTTCATTTGACGACTTCGCATCGGCCATGCTTCTTGGTGTCCGTGGATCGCGCTCGCACCTTGCGACTGGATGGTGTGACGCTCGTTCTGTCTGCACCAATCGGGTGTATTTTCTCGCGTTCTGCCTATCTAAATGTTAATATTACACTTTTTCGTTACATCTTTGTTTTGTCTGATTACGCTTTATTGGCACCCTACTTACGTTTACCCATTTCGCGAGGCAGAAAGTTCATCCAGATGCCTTATTCACGCTCTTTGGTAGGTTAGATGGTTTCATTATTATTATTATTACTCTTGGTTCACTTACAAATCTGTGAGCACTTTGATCTGAACTATGGTAACCTCTCTGTACCTGTAGTTGCTACATACTAGAATTTATTGCATCACTGATATTTACACTTTCGTTTGGGCCAATTCGTATCTAGGTGTGTATGGCGATGTGGTGCGAGTCAAGATCATGTTCAACAAGAAGGATACCGCGCTTATTCAGTTTGCGGATCCCCAACAGGCAGCAAAAGGTAATTTGTCAATTTGATACCGACATCGTTTAAGCTTTGTCCTATTTGAACGGTCAGCCCTTGTGGGGCAAAAATCTGAAGGTTGCTCTCTCAAAGTTCAATGTTGTACAAATGCCGAACGAAGGGACAGATGTCGGGCTGACAAAAGACTACTCTCGCAGCCCTCTTCATCGCTTCCGGAAACCAAACTCGAAAAACTTTTTGAACATATGTGCCCCGAACCACGTTCTTCATTTGAGCAACATACCACCAAACAGCACAGAAGACGAAATCCGAAAGCTGTTTCTATCGAAAGGTTATGAGGTGTCCGGTTTCAAATTCATGCTGTAAGTTGTATCACAAATTAACTGACTTATCGCATTGATAGCAAAGAGAAAAAGATGGCACTTGTCCAATTGGCCAATGTGGATGTGGCAATGCAAGCACTTATTGTGAGTGATCTNGAGCTTCATAACTGCCAGTTGAATGAAAGTTCTCATCTACGGATCAGCTTCAGCAAAATACCTATCTGACTTGATATGCACAATTCTTGTTCTGATCGGAAATCGATACATTTTTCCATACAATAATGTAGTAGTTCTTTGTTTTTATCTAGGGTAGTACATACAGATCGTGAGGAAAATCGCTCTTTTCTAGATGATTCCTTATGCAACGAGACAGCAATTGCTACCCGCGTCACAGTGGATACTGGGGAAATTATATGTAAAGTTCGGGTAGAGAATTGGTGAGCGAGATAAGATGCGCCACAAAAGCACGGGAACCCCTTTTTTTCTTCGTTTCCGCATTTGTTAGGAGGACGCAGACTAAACATTTGTCGCTCAACGGCCGGTCGGTCTTTTTAAGCATTCGCTCAACTGACGACATTGTCTTGGCTATGGGGTAGTGGTGGTTCAGTGGTGTAGTCGCTGTCACCGGTGTGCTTTGGACCTTATGGTCTGCGGTTCTTGCCCAGCCACCTAACTTTGGTGGTAAGCAGCTTTACTGTCTTCCGGTTCAATACCACGCCTAACCTAGCTGGGCCTTATGTAGTTCACCACTCAATGTCCTGGGGCTTAAGTTAACTGTTTCCATCACCGAACAGCAGGTCCTGGTGGATGTGGGGTTTACCCCGTCTGCTGTTCGTCACACTAAAGTGTGTGAAAAATGTCTTACTGATCCGTTTGCTGTCGATCAACCAGAGTCCGTTGTTTGAGGATAACTACGCTGTCGGAAATCGATAAGCAACTACTGGTTTTTGAACATATTTCACTTATTACTGCGATTAAACTTGACCTTGTGTTTGCTCTTTCCCCAAACTTCTCTAGTTTGCACTAGCTTGTGGTAGACTAAGTCAAAGACAGTACGGTTGTCTTTGATAGAATCATTTCTGGTGATAACCACCGAAGGCAAAGTAATATACAACATGAAAAGTCAGACCTGCAATGCTCTATATAACAAATAGCGATAATTAATCATAGGAGTATAGACTTCCTTCTACTCGGCTTCTGAAGTGACCACCACGAGCCTTAGGTGATCGAACTCTCCCAGTCAGTACCCATCCATAAATCTTAAAGTAAATCATCTATCTCTTGTGAGCCACAGGAGAGAAACTGACAAATTGTAAGTATTGCCAACTCCATGTAGTCTTCCGGTAGACGGATCTTTGCGAAGTTCCATCTGACTGCCTCTTGACTTTTATATCTAAAAAATTCAAACAACCGTCCTTTTCCTCCTCAAGGGAAACAGAGATTGGGATGAATAGTATTAAAAAGTGTTAAAATGCTTGAACTTGCTAATTTATTGGACAATTTTAATTTATCTTATCATGAGATGTTTCTATTGATGTTGATTCACTTTTTACAAATGTTCCTCTCCATGAAACAGTAGACTTTTTATGTGATTTTATCTCTTCAATGAATATTAACCTTCCTTTTCCCTTTGATCATCTAAAAGATCTTATCATTGTTTGCAATGAGAACATACGTTTCGAATTTGAAGGTACAGCGCACAGACAAATTGACGGCGTAGCAATGGGCAGTCCCTTAGGCCCAACATTGACCGATGTATTTCTAGGAATGGTTGAAAGACAATTGAATGATAATATTTCAATGGCGTTTTGTACGAACGTTATGTTGATGATATTTTGTTTTCCACCGACTCAGCATTTTAACACTTTTTAATACTATTCATCCCAATCTCTGTTTCCCTTGAGGAGGAAAAGGACGGTTGTTTGAATGTTTTAGATATAAAAGTCAAGAGGCGGTCAGATGAAACCTTGCAAATAAACCATCTGTGCTGAATGAATTCTGGTTCACGTTGACACTCTTTACATGCACCTCCGCACCACTGTCCTATTGTTCGTCTTCCTACGTTGCCTGTGTGTTGACTTCATTCTCCACGCCGTTCACACATGCGTACGCACCATTAGCATGTTTGGTCCATTACGTTGCACTCTATGTTGATCTCACTTGCCTCATCGATCCGTGCTCATGACCGACTGACCTATACATCTGTGTACACACGCAGGCTTAACGCATTGTCATATCACGGCGGGCCCTGATGGCTTGCATTCACACCCACTGTATTTCGATTGATTCTCTCTGGGTCACTTCCCAGCGTTGACTACCACAGGTGCATGTGATCTTGTTTCACACTGTTGCGTTGGTTCCATTGTCATCGCGCTGCGCGTCTGCTTGCTCACAGTGACGCTCATGTATCTACTCATGACTATTGTAACGTCAGTCTCTATAAATTTGCTACCCTGCGCTTGAATTTGCTCTCAAAATTCTAGTCTTCATTCTATTCTTTTATCCAAATGAGCAACCAAAACCGGCGCACGATAGGGCATGGTTAATGGTTGTAAGAACTGAACTGAATTACATAGAATAATCACAATCCAATAGTCCATTGCATCGAGCGGTATGTTGTCAGGACTGGGTTATTGCTGAGATGTCCTCATCTTTGTGTACTTTTTGTCTTCTCTGTTGGTCCAACTTCCGGTCTGAAACATCCCTTCAATTAACTCACTGATCACGCCATCATTCGTTACATAATACTGTAAGCATTCACATGCAATGGAGATGTTTGTGATAAACGAGAAAGAGCACTGGACAGCTGTTTGCGACTCGTCATCCGTGAGTACTTTTTGTGTCCTTGTCAAGACTCGAACCGCTAATTTTTGGGTCGCGACTTCAAACTCTTACCCCTGAGCTACACGGACAACGAACACCACCTTGTGCGAATGGCTCAATCAGTTTTACGGTAGCAAGCTTGGATTAATCCATTCGACTTTTTGAGAACGACTCTTGATGCCTCTTAAAAATCGAATTGGCTGATCCAGGCTTGCTACCATAAAAGTACCATAAGCGGTTTTCGGTCGAAAATTTGCAGTTTCTGAAGCCTCGTCAATGGCTGATTCCGGAGACCTTTAATGCAGGTAGATTAGTGAGCCCGTCTTCATACATGAGACGCGAAACCCGGCTCCTTATAGAGAAAGTATACCTGGAGTAGGATTGCATGCTATCCGGTGCGTCTCCCTTCGGCTTGCGGATTAGGGAACCACCATCAGTGGGATTTTTAGATCGACGATACCTGAACTGTATGGCGATTGTAAAAAGTTCATTAACCCAAAGATTTCTCAGAGATTTTCTGAGCTTATCTGGCGTTTCCAATATGATTAATGGCATAGCATTGCTATTACTGAAACGTGGCCATCAGTCGCAATTAGCGATTCCCAGCTCTCTCAGATATGTCTACTTTGATGCAGTCGTCCCATACGTTACAGTGTTTTACTTTATGTTCACGAGGATCTTCACTGTGAGGGTATTCAATCCTTTGGTTTTGGCTCCCGAAGGAAGCTCTCCAGATAACAAGCACAGATCTATGGATCATACACGGTTGCAAACATTGATGCTCTCCATTCAGTGAGTTTCCTGTGACACGGAACGCAATCCGCTGGTCTCCTGAGAGAACTTTATCGACAGTCTTACAAATCTAATAACATCANCGACTCTAGCATCCGAAATTTACTTATACGAAGCTGCATGAAGAAATGGATATCTCTGAGGGATATGATTATTATAAAAGTTTTACGGATGTCGTCCCGTGGAATGATTATCGTTTGCTGAGAAACCACTGCACCAGGCGGATGTATCAAGATGCGCTAGCCCAGAGATTCATCTCTACCCTAAGTTGTTGTATAGCCACGGTGACTGTATTCGGAGAGTTAAGTTTAATATACGGTCACTAAGCTACTTTGGGAGAGTTGCAACTGAAAACTAAATATTCCGACATTTTTGCGCGTAAAATGGTGAAGGTTTACAGCCCCTCGCCGGTTGTCATCTTCGCTGACCAACGTAACGTTAACTGCCGAACACGTTAAAAAAAACTAATGACTTTTTGAAAGAAAGCGACTCTAAGTGCGGACACGATACACCCAAGTTCCCTACTCTTTGTGGCGAATCACATCCGAACCACTAGTTGTTCTATTCCAACAGGTCTTCGACCAAACAAAACTCCCACAATCGAGAAAACGAGGAGTTATTTCACCCATAAACAAAGGTATTTGTAATAGCGACCCTCCTGGAAGATTCAGAAAGATAAAAAATTCTTTAGACAGCTCAACATGTGTTCAGACAAAAGCCATCACGACGAAGAGAATGTGGTGGATGTCATTTATCTGGACTTCTCGAAAACAGTTGATCGGGTAACCCGCCGCATTTTGTTCAAGAAGATCTACACTTACGGCATTTGAAGTCTCGTGGTTCATTGGATCAAAGCACAACCCCAACAGTGGACCATCTCAGTTGCTGTTTCTGATACCCTATCCGCTTCCATCAGCGCTACCCGCGGTATTCCATAATGGCCTGTACTTGTCCCCACCTTCATAAAGTGTCAGGGTCAAAACAATCTTGTTTCCAGGCGACACCCAAAATGGAATACAGTAACAAAATCGAGAGCCCGCTATCATTTCAAGAAACGCTTAAAAAAAGGCGGAGAACGACATTGGATTTAACGTTTGTAGATGCAAAGTTCTACTACAGCACCACGGCGTTAGATTCTCGGGAATCACCAGTTGACGCATCCATTAACTGAAAAAGATGTCAGTGAAACTATTCTAGAAGACCTCGAATGCTCAAAGGCTTCGTCCGCCACTGTGAATAAAGTCGGCTTACGTGAGCGAGTCTTCGGCGGAAGTGAATCTGTGTTGTTTTCACGTTGGAGCATGACGCAAAACCACGCGCCATGAAAAACAACAATCATTAGACGTGACGAATGCATCCATGCACAGTCACAGCGAGGGAGAAGAGTGTAGTATTCGTAATAGTAGTGTTGTGAGATACTACTCACTTGTGAGTAGTCGGTAACTTTCAATGATTAAAAA